AGACTACTGTCCTGTACCTGGTGTCCTGTGACAGACTACTGTCCTGTACCTGGTGTCCTGTGACAGACTACTGCTGTCCTGTTTGGTGTCCTGTGACAGACTCCTGTCCTGTACCTGGTGTCCTGTGACAGACTCCTGTCCTGTACCTGGTGTCCTGTGACAGACTGCTGTCCTGTACCTGGTGTCCTGTGACGGACTACTGTCCTGTACCTGGTATCCTGTGACAGACTGCTGTTCTTTCCACGGTGCTCAGTGTGTCCTGGGATGGTTTCAGACTATAAGCCAATTATGGCAGATGGATGGCATAAATGTTGTAGTTCAGGCATCACTGTATGAAGGCAGATCATTAGTCTGGCTGTTTCTTAATGAAATAATTCCATTCTCTGGCTGTCAGAGAGAAATTATCTCGCCAAACACTCCTACCCTATTCAGTCAAAATAGATGTTGAAAATAGAGGGGTTTTTACAAACTGCAGTTTTCTGTGAAAATGAAACCAAGGGCACCAATCGCATGTAGTAGTGAGCCAAATTGTACAGAAACAGTATTTATATATAAGCCAAAAGGCACAGACTCTGTCTTCCTGGGTGTGGTATCGCTTCCTCAGTTGTTCCTGTTTTGGAATTATTCTGAATTGTAATTAAAGGTAAAACGTCAGCTTTCCCGTCACCTGTGAGATTTAGAGACATTGTGGCCCAGTTGGCCCCGACTTACTCTCTGACTGACATGTTTTACCCCAACTTCAGCTGAGCACAACATTTCAGCTCCGGGTCCTAATTGATGTGGAATAACAAATGCATCCCACATGGCCCAACACCGCGACTCGGAGGTCATCTCTCACCTGGAAAAATATCCCCGGACTGCCGCTGTTTTTAAAAGCCTGTGAGTCAGCTTTTGGCAGCGTCTGCACAGACTGATTCATTAACCTGTCAGAGGAAGCCGTACTCCGGCTCTGAATGGATTTGTATGCCTATTTATAACTAATATCATTTATAACATGAAGCCAGGATCCAGAGACAGTCAGGACCGTTCCAAAAAAATTCCATCCTGCCTGGGTGACGTCAGTTTTGGGCCAGACTGACTGGCACGTGGATTTATACATATAGAATTGATCATGTGGGTTGAGGGTCGCATGCATGAGCACATTATTGATTTCCTTGTGATGAAACCTTTGACATCGATGCCCAAGTGAAGCCATCGTGTATATCCATGTTTTTTTTTGTAATTAAACTCTGACACAAAGTCTATCATCACCCTTCCCACGGGGACTACAGCAAAAGTGTAATGGCACAGAGAGAATATTAGTCTGTTCTTTAATTCCCTAATTACATTCTTAAGATCCATTTGGCCATTTGAGGAAGAGAAAACTGAAGGACATGGCGAGCTGGTAAAGATAAAGGACCACCATTCGATTGGCCAGGGAATCTGTCAATCACAGGGCCTCAGCGAATGACACTGTGTTTCATGGATAGCAAAATTCAAGATGGTTGAGGAGCAAAGGTGACTGATTTAAATCTGTTTGTCACGGAAATGTCAGAGTGCAGCAGGAGGGAATGCTGTAAACCAAAGAAGCTCCTTTCAGAGCTGTGCTGCTCAGTAGGGCCACGGCAACAAGTGTTTTTTATCCCAGAATCCTCTGCAGGGTCCTGGTGGAATGAATACAAATAAATGAGTGTGAGGAGACGGTTTAGAGAAAGGACAAGAATTAATTTGTGAACGATGTGTGCTCACCTGAATGGATGCCTTGTGTGAGAACATTCTGTCACTCATCGGGTGAAGCATTATTTCTGGTAATTGTTGTGTATTTTACTTTCCATCCTACAGATCCGAAGGTGAACCATTGCACAACGCATTTC